ACTCCTGGCCTCAAGGGATCCTCCTGCCTTGGCCTCCCAAAGTGCTGAGATTACAGGTGTGAGCCACTGAGCCCAGGCTGGCTCACCAATTTGTCAATAACTTTTTTTTTTTTTTTTTTTTGAGAAGGAGTTTCACTCTCATTGCCCAGGCTAGAGTGCAGTGGTGTGATCTCCGCTCACTGAAACCTTCGCCTCCCAGGTTCATGAAATTCTCCTGCCTCAGCCTCCCGAGTAGCTGGGATTACAGAGATGCAGCACCACACCCGGCTAAGAACAATTTTAACTTAAGTCAACTGAATAGAAATAAACAGAACGAAATTGATTATGGTTGAGCTAAACAATCTAATCTAATCCAGTTCACCTCAACTCAATTCAAATGAGAGTGAGACTGATTCCAAGGCTAGTCAACTGAATGTAAAGGAACAGAATGAAATCAAACTGAACTGAACACAGCTTGTGTGTTATATCCTATCAGAACCTGGGATAAGGGCTGCCTCCAGCTCCCACAGTCTCCGAGATCCCGCCATCTCAACACTAATCATCCCTGTTTGTATATTTCCAGTTTGTACATCTTTCCCTCATAATAGGCCATAAGCTCCTTATAGGTGGTGGTGCCTGCCTGTAATCCTAGCACTTTGGGAGGCTGAGGTGGGAGGATCACTTGAGCCTGGGAGGTCGAGCCTGCAGTGAGCCATGATCGCATCACCATACTCCAGCCAGGGCAACAGATCCCATCTCAAAATAAATAAATAAATTAAATTCAACTCAACATTGATTGAACAGTGACTGCATGCCAGACATAAATTTTTATGCCAGGCCGGGCGCGGTGGCTCATGCCTGTAATCCCAGCACTTTGAGAGGCTGAGATGGTGGATCACCTGAGGTCAGGAGTTCAAGACCAGCCTGGCCAACACGGCGAAACCCCATCTTTACTAAAAATACAAAAAATTAGCCGGGTGTGGTGGCGGGGACCTGTAATCCCAGCTACTCAGGAGGCTGAGGCAGGAGAATTACTTAAACTCGGGAGGCAAAGGTTGCAGTGAGCTGAGATCGCACCACTGCACTCCAGCCTGGGCAACAAGGGTGAAACTGTGTCTCAAAAAAATTAAAAAAATATTTGTTTATGCCAAACTCAACTACGCAACCAAGTGTACTAAATGCCTACTATGTTTTATCTAAAGCTTATAGCTCATGAACCCCTCTCTCTAATCCTGAGATGTGGGTTAAGGATTCCATTTTACAGAGCAAGATATTGAGGTTCAGAAGAGTTAAATCCCACAGGAAGGGGCGGAGCTGGGACTTAAGCCTGTGTCCCCCTGGTGTCCCCGTTCCCTTCTGACCCATCTAGGGTCTCACCGGGTCTGTCTGGTACTCCCGGCTGTAGAGTTCATGACAATTGTTGAAGATGTACTCGTAGGTAGAATTAAGGCAGGCTTTCACACAGTCCTTTACCACCTGGCTGGCTCGGGGCGGGCTCTGGAGTTCTTGTACCTGAAGGGAGGGAGAGAGGCATAGGCGGCCACAGCTGGGACAGGAAGTCCCCAGAAGTGACTGCAAGTCATTTTGGGTTTAACGAAATGAAGTGGAATGGAGGGAGAAGGTTACTGAGAAAGGCTGCCATTCTCCAGGAGAAATGTCACTTGTCCCGAGAGCTAGGAATCCTAGAGAACCTTCCTTGGAGGGCAAATGCAACCGGATCTTTTCCTACCTTCATCCGAAAGAAGGTGATGCTGGTGAGAAGGTCCACAGTGGATTTGAGGTCCTGGAGTCTCTCCGGGCTGCTGGCTGGGAAGTTATTCTGTTGGAAACAGGAAGAGAGGTGGGGTTATGGAAGAAGATTGGGGGAGGATGGGAGACTACTTTTTAGGGGGATACAAAGTCTCCCTGGTTTCAGGTTGGGGGTTGATTAGAGCACCTCAAAGTGACTGGGTGGGGGTCTGCTTGGATGCGCCAAGCACGTTAGGGCAGGTAGTACCCGTGCAGGCGTACACACGCCAGAGGAACACATCGTAAGTGTGGAGATGGGTCCCCTCATGCACACACCTGCTGGTAGCTTTCCCCTCCAGGCACACACACGTGCACGGGGCCAGGAAATCCTCATGCACGCACTTCCTACCCGGTACATGGAGAGGTCAATCCGCAGAGAGTTATGCAGCTGGTCCAAGAGTTTCACAAAGCGCTCTTTCTGAGGAGGAAGGGGAGGAGGGAGGATGGATGGAGGCAGGATTTGGCTGCCATGCTGGCTGAGCGCCTACTGTACACTAAGTACACCCCATCCATCACCCTCATAATGTCAATTTCCATTAAATTGCATCCTCTTATGTTTATTTTTTTGAGACAGAGTCTCTCTCTGTCGACCAGGCTGGAGTACAGTGGCACAATCTCAGCTCACTGCAACCTCTGACTCCAGGTTCGAGTGATTCTCCTTCCTCAGCCTCCCAAGTAGCTTGGACTACAGGCACAGGCCACCACACCTGGCTAATTTTCTTTCGGATTTTTAGTAGAGATGGGTTTTCACCATGTTGGCCAGGCTGCTCTCAAACTCCTGGCCTCAAGTGATCTGCTCACCTCGGCCTCCCAAAATGCTGGGATTACAGGCATGAGCCACCTCGACCGGCCTCCATTCTAGAGCATTCTACAGAGGAATCAATGGAGGCTCAGAGACAACAAGTGACTGGTGGAAAGTCACACAGCAATCTGGTCTAGATTGGGGACCCAGGAGTCACATCAGTTCTGACCGGCATAAAGTTGGGCTTTCCCTCATTCTCCAGTCCCAGTCCCCAGGACTGACCCCGAAGTTGGAGGCGGCGAAGCGGTCGGAGGCAGACACGTTGGTGGAGGCGGTGGTGTGCGCGTAGTAGGCATTGATGTTGGCGAGCAGGGTGCTCATGACGGCGGGCACCCCTGGGCACATATACTTGGAGGAGAGGCAGGCAAAGTGGCTGGAGAGAGGGACCAGGAGACACTGGGCCAGGGGTCCAGCCAGGATGGACCAAGTTCCCCCCAGAACACCTCCAAGACAGCATCTGTGAGTGGCTCTCCGTCACCACCCAGTCCCTCCCCTGGCTGATTCTGTCCTTGGAGTCTCTGCATCTCCTCTCCCCTCCATCGTTATATCCATTTGAGTTGCTCTAACTCTGCTTCTTTTTTTTTTTTTTTTGAGATGGAGTCTCACTGTCACCCAGGCTGAAGTTGAGTAGTGCAATCTCAGCTCACTGCAGTCTCCACCCACTGGGTTCAAGTGATTCTCCTGTCTCAACCACCTGAGTAGCTGGGACTACAGGCACGCGCCACCACACCTGGCTAATTTTTGTATTTTCAGTAGAGACGGGGTTTCACCATGTTGGCCAAGATGGTCTCGATCTCTTGACCTCGTGATCCGCCCGCCTTGGCCTCCCAAAGCGCTGGGATTACAGGCTTAAGCCACCGTTCCCGGCCTCTATCTCTGCTTCTAACTCCTCCCTGTCACTCCAGGTGTCAATCACAGGGCTCTCCTGATCTCCAGGGGAATTACGGAACCCCCTCCCACCACCACGCCCACTTCCTCTCTGGCTCCTCCCGCTCAGAATCCCCCACAGCAGACTTGCTAATGCCCCCCAACTTTTTTTTTTTTTTTTTTGAGACAGAGTTTCCCTCTGTCACCCAGGCTGGAGTGCAATGGTGCGATCTTGGCTCACTACAACCTCTGCATCCCGGGTTCAAGTAATTCTTCTGACTCCGCCTTCTGAGTAGCTGGGACTAGAGGCGCATGCCACCATGCCCAGCTAATTTTGTATTTTTAGTAGAGATGGGGTTTCACCATATTGGCCAGGCTGATCTCGAACTCCTGAACTCTTGATCCGCCCGCCTTGGCCTCCCAAAGTGCTGGGATTACAGGCATGAGCCACCACGCCCGGCCGTCAGTGCCCTCTTGGTGACCTCCCTCTTGTTTCCTGCACCTCACCCTCGTGTCCACCCCAGCCTGCGGCCTCACGTCATGGCTTGGTAGATGGACTCGACGCCGTAGCGCATGGCAAACTCGTCCACAATCTCCTGGGCTGTCTCATCGTAGTAAACCTTCCAGGCGTCATCGCCCTTGGCATCCGGGATCTTCACGACCCCGTTGTTCTGCACATCCGTCACGAAGTGGAAGAGGTTCTGCCACCATGGGGGAGAAGGCATCATCATGGAGAGTGCAAGGGGTCGCCAGGGGTCAGAGGTCCTAGGGTCTGGGGCAGCTTACATCATACACCTGCTTGTTTACTCTTTAATTCATTCATCTACTGTCATCCATCCACACAGCCACCCATCTAACTACCCCAAATTTCACCCATTCACTCTTCCAACCTTTCAGTAATTTAAAGATCCATCCATCCATCCATCCATCCATCCATTCATCCACCCATCCATTCATCCATCCACCCATCCACCCACCCACCCAGCCATCCATCCACCCATCCATCCCATACATTGATCTATAACTTAATCCACCTGTCCAATCATTCATTCTTCCATAAACCAACCATCCGTCTACCCATCAACTTATCCATCCATCCATCTATGCATCTATTCTTCATCTGTCCACCAACTACTCACAACCGTCCATCTAAATACTCAAAAATTATGAACCCACTTTTCAATACTTTCAATAATTCAACCACAGGTCCTTCCATGCAACCACCACCCACCCATTCATCCATCTGTCTGTCCATGCATCCATCCATCCATCCATCTACCTATCTATCCATCCAACTATCAACAAGTTCACTTGTCTACTCATGCTTCCTTCTAATAATTCAACCACACATCCACCCATCCCATCCAATACAGCTTAACGTTCTCATCCAAAAACTCATCTATCCACCCATTCAATCATCTGCCCACCTATCAAGTTATCCATCCATCATTCTTCTATATCCATCTATCATCTATCCAATTACCCCAAAATTCACCCATCCATGCATCTGTACTTCCAATAGTTCAACCACATATCCATCCATCTGTCCATCTATCATCCATTTAGTCACGAATCTACCCAACAACTCATCCATCTCTCCATCCATCCTTTTATCTACCTCATCACTCATTCATTTATTCAGTCATTCACTCATTCACCAGCATTCATTCAACAAACTAGTTCCTGGGAATAGAGTTCTTTCCAGGAACCCCCAGGCAGCCGGAAGAGACATACCCAGACACAGACAGCCCAATCCTGAGTGGTTAGGGCTGGAACAGAAGGAAGAATCTGATGGTGAGTATGAGAGTCAACCTGGAGGCCAAGGAGGGCTTCCCAGAGGAGGCGACCCTAAATCTGGACCTTGATGGATATAAACGGAATGGCATGGTAGGCAGTCTCAGAGAGCCAGGAGAGTGTGAATAGTTTGGCCAGAAAGAGGAAGGGCGGGAAGAAATGGTGAGTGGAGGTGGCATGGGAGGGGCTGAGCAATGAAGCTCACCTCATGCAGACAGGTGTACTGGACGTGATATGGGGCCACCTTCTCCTCGCCTTTGATCTCCACACTGATGTGGAGCCGGATGGCGCCCGACACGGCAGATTTGTCAGTTCGCTTGTCTGTGGGGCAGAAAAGGATGACCAGAGTCAGAACCTCTCACTATAGCTGTGGGCAATTTTTAATAGATGCACGATTCCGTTGTCCTCCCAGACCTCCGGAAACTAAGGCCTGGGCGTCTCTCTTCTGATTGGCTCCCTAGGCTTGAGTCTCTCTGCTTAGGCTAGAATTCCTTAAGCCCTGTTTCTCCCTTCAAACAAGGATCTCAGACCTTGCTTCTTCACTCAGATTAAGTTCCTGGGTGTGTGCCTCCCTCCTTAGACTAGCAGCCCTAGACCCTGCTTCTTGCCCAGTCTGAGCTCCCAGGACCTGCCTCCCCCATCAAATCACACTCCCCAGAAACTACACATCTTAGACACGGTTCCTGGGTCTGTGCCTCTCTCCTCTGACTAGGATCCCCAGGTCTTGTCTCCTGCCTCCCCCATCAGAATGGGATATGTAGATCTCCTCCAACCTAAGAGATTTCTGGGCTCTACTCAACCCTCTCAGGCTGGGTCCTTTCTACCCCTTCAGATTAGGCTCATTAGATTGGACTCCCCAGATTCTACTTATTTTCTTTTTGTTTTTTCTTTTTCCTTTTTTTTTCGAGATGGAGTCTTGCTCTGTAGCCCAGGCTGGAGTGCAGTGGTGTGATCTCGGCTCACCGTAACCTCTGCTTCCCGGGTCCCAGTTCAAGCAATTCTCCTACCTCAGCCTCCCGAGTAGCTGGGACTACAGGCGCACACCACCACGCCTAGCTAATTTTTGTATTTTTAGTAGAGACAGGGTTTCACTGTGTTCCCTAGGCTGGTCTCGAACTCCTAGACTCAAGTGATTAGCCTGCCTCAGCCTCTCAAAATGATAAGATTACAGATGTGAGCCACTGCCCAGTGCCCCCAACCTGGATTCTTTTTTTTTTTCTGGAGATGGAATTTTGCTTTTGTCGTCTGGGTTGGAGTGCAGTGGTGTGATCTTGGCTCACTGCAACCTCCGCCTCCCAGGTTCAAGCAATTCTCCTGCCTTTGCTTCCTGAGTAGCTGGGACTACAGATTCGCACCACCATGCCTGGCTAATTTTTGTATTTTTAGTAGAGACAGGGTTTCACCATGTTGGCCAGGCTGGTCTCGAACTCCTGACCTCAGGTGATCTGCCCACCTCCGCCTACCAAAGTATTGGGATTACAGGTATGAGCCACTGCACCCAGCCCAGCTAGGATTCTTAAAGCTCAATCTTCCTTCTTCGATTTGGTTTGTAGGTCTGTGCCTCTCCCCTCAGACTAGGATTACCAGGTCTTGCTTCCTGCCTCCCCCATTAGACTGGGACACGGAGATTCTGTCCCTACCTTCCCGTCTAAGCTGACCTAAGAAATTCCTGGGCTCTGCTAACCCTCCCTGCCTGGGTGCTTCCTGACCCCATCAGATTGGGCTCCTAGACTCTGCCTCCCCCATCAGATCATGCTCCTTGACCAAACTTCTCTCGAGAATGCTTCTCTCCCCTCTTCATGGGCTCCACGCTCTGGCTGGATCCCTGGGACCATCCCCATCCCTTTGAGAACCCGGCTTCTCTCACCCAGGTTGTACCACACGTCCATCTCGCCGCTGAGCGTCCGCACCTCAATGATCGTCTGCCCCAGGAAATCGTCAGATTCCCTCTTGAACCTCTGTTTCACACGGGATTTGATGTCATCATCCTCGTCCCAGACGCGCACCTTGATGCGGTCGGAGGAATTGTGACATTCACTGTGGCGGGAGGAGGAGGCAGGGGCAGGGGTCAGGCGGCCAGCGTGAGTCCTGTCTTTGGAGCCCCCTTTTGGCTGCCCCAGCAGGGAGCCCCGCACGGGCCCAGGGACCCAGCCAGGCACTTACAAGTGGAAATTCTCCTCCCACACCGGGTTGAGGTTCCCATAGATGGTTTTTGTCCGTTTCTTGGTCTTCCCAACTTGGACGGTGACGTAGGGGTCACTGGATCCCGTCTTGTCCTTTGCCTGCAAGCCCTGGGCGCAGACCACTGGAAGACACAGAGGGCGTACACAGGCGTGCACTCAAGGAGCGGGCATGCCGGGACAGTCACCACAAGCTGCAGCCTGATAACTGGGACACCTGTAGCATGGCTGGAGAGCAATGGCAGGCACGCTGGACTTGCTAAAGGGGTTTCTTTGTTAGTTGTTTTTGAGATGGAGTTTGCTCGTCACCTAGGCTGGAGTGCAGTGGCTTGATCTTGGCTCACTGCAACCTCTGCCTCCTGGGTTCAAACGATTCTCCTGCCTCAGTCTCCCAAGTAGCTGGGATTACAAGCATGTGCCACCATGTCCAACTAATTTTTTTTGCATTTTTAGTAGAGATGGGGTTTCAGCATGTTGGCCAGGCTGGTCTCGAACTCCTAACTTCAGGTGATCCACCCGCCTGGCCTCCCAAAGTGCTGGGATTACAGGCGTGAGCCACTGTGCGTGGCCTTGCTAGAGAGTTAACAAGGAGGGAGCACCCAGCCCATAAGGATGGGAAGGTGCCTCAGCCCCCTTGCCCATGGGTGGGACTTCTTTCAGGTGTGAGCTCCCCGAGGTCGGACACCCAGAAGAACCCATTGCCCCCGAGATCTCCTGCTCGTTGGCGCCCCCTGCAGGGTGACTTCCCTTCCTGACTCACCACCCTAGCTCCGTCCTGGGGTCACTTCCTGGATAACCCACATACCCTGAAATCCTCATCGTCGGATCTGTTTATGGGTAAATCCACATGAGTCTGGGTGTGGACAAATACCAGTATCCCCGCCCCTGAGTGGGGCCACACTGAGCTGCATGAATGACCCCAGGATGGGCTGAGCCGGTTGCCTACAGCATGGCCTGCCCCACGGCATCTCCTCCAGGACACCTTCCATCCCTGTCTCAAGTCCTTGCCCCTCACCAGGGCTTTCTGGGGTCACTTTCCAGATAAACTATGCACCCACAATTCTTCTTCTTGGGGTCTCATTCTGGAGAGCACCAACCAAGAGGCACCCAGACACAGTCCCATGAACAGGCATTTGGAGGTACGCATGTCCCCCCATATGCGTGCACACACGGACATGGGATGGAATGGACGAGATCAAGGACCTGCTGCAAAGGAGAGGGACAGGCCTCAGCGGGTGGAGAAGGAGGGGCCCTGCGGCGGCCCCCGCCCCCTCACCAGTGATGCTGATCTTGGCGGACCACTTGGACGTGCCGTCCAGCACGCTCTGCTTGACTGCCTTCATCTGCTGCGTGTGCGCGGTCTTGGTCACTGCGAAGATCTCCTGGATGAGCTCGAAGATCTCGGGTTTGTTGCGCTCCCGGATCTTCATGCGGTCCTTGAGCACCATGATGATGTTCTGCGTCCGGTCCTCTGCCCCGTGCTTGGAGCTCTTCTCCGCGGCCCCTGCGGACGCCAGAGGCCGGCGCTGACCCCAGCGCGCCTGCCCTGTGGCCCCTCACCAGGGAGAGAGCCCCGCCCCATTCATCAACCGCGGGGGCTCAGGTGTCACGCCTGAAGCCGGTTTCCTGCCTGCTCTCTGTACCACCCACCCAGACCCTTCGCCTTTCCGACTCCTCTCGGAGCCATGCTCCTCTGAGTCCCCATGTCCCTGAGTCCTGCCCTTCTCTGCCTTCCGCCCCTTGGAGTCCCCACAGGGTTTTGGAGCCCCTAAGCCCCACCCCTCTAAGTCCCCGCCCCCTCTCTGAGCCCCACCCCTCTGAGTCCCCGCCTCCTCTGAATCCCACCTCTCTGAGCCCCACTCCTCCGAATCCCCTCCCCGTGTCTGATCTCCACTCCTGTGAGTCCCCTCCACATCTCCGAGCCCCTGCCTTCTCTGAGACCCCTCCGCCTTCCAACCCCCTCCTCCACAGTCCTCTCTTAGTCTGAGCCCCTTCCTTCTCTGAGCCCCTCTTCCTCTCAGAGCTACCCCTAGCTAACCCATTTTTATCCAGGGGAGCCGCGTCTTCTCACTAAGCCTGTCCTTTGCACCACCTAGCTAGTCCCTGAGCCCTCCCCATCCCTCTCGGACACCCTAGCAGCATCTTTCCCCACCCCTCGACGCCCTGGCCCTTTCCCCAGGGAGTCCTGCCCCTCCAGCCCCACCCCTCCTCTTCAGCGGGTCCCTCCCTTGCCCCGCGACGCCCCGCCCCTTGCCCCGCGACGCCACGCCCCTTGCCCCGCCCCATGGCGCCCCACCCATCGCCTTGCTCCTTCAGCCTTTCTTCCCACGCCAACCCGCAGCCCTGCGCTCGGGCCCCGCGCTCACGCTGCAGGCAGTCGGCGTTGAGCAGGTCCTGGCACTTCTCGTGGCACTTGACGCCGCACTCGGTGCAGCGCATGCCCTGCCTCGCGATGCCCCACAGCAGCCCCTCGCACTCGTAGCAGTAGGTGGGCGTGGTGGCCGTCCACACCTCGAAGTTGTGCGGTGTCGTGCACGAGATGGGATAGATTAAGGCTTGCAGGGTCTTCTTGTAAACGTGGTTTTTCTGCAGGGAGGGAGGGGTGCGCTTTGGGGCCCTAACCTGGCGCTGTCCCTGTTTTGTCCCCCTGGGCCCCAGCACGGAGCGCGGTAAAGTCCCAGCCCCTCCCTGCCTCCACGCTGTCGGAAGCCAGGCTGCCTCCTCTTCCCAGGGACCCACAGAGGCTTGGACTCTCCCAGAAGCTCCCAGCCCAGTCCATCTCTGACCCGGGGAAAAAGAGGTGCCCCACGTACCAGCTCCTCGTTGTTCAATGTGCTGGAGGCCAAGGCCGAGGTGATGCCCGCTTTCCTGGACTGGACCAGGGACTAGGGAGGTCACAGAAGAGGGAGTCGGGGGGGTTGACATCCATGAGATCAGCACCGGGAGGGTTCACAGCCACACATGGGGCCCGAAGCCATATTTTGGAGCCACAACCGCAAATTGGAAACAGGTCACGACAGCATCCGGGCCAGACCCAGCAAAGAATTAGGAGATGGTGGAGGCTTTGAGTTAGAAGGGACCCTGGAAAGTGAGCAGCCCCACACCCTGACTCACAGCCTCCAACACAGAGGGACAAGGCAAGGTTCCCCCAGAAACCATGAATTGGGGGCCTGTTACAAGATCCCAGTGGGGGAGTTTGGGGAGAAGACCCCAAGGGGCCCATGTCACCATCACTCACCATGGCCTGAAGTGTCCACGCAGCACGTGGGGGTAGAAATCAGACAACATTAGTCTCAGAGAATGCCTAGCTAGCTCCCAACCCCAGGTTGACCATGGGCAGTCGCCCAGGTTGCACGCTGCTTATAGCGGGCCTGCTCTGCTAGGGGTGTAAAGTGGGTGGCTGCTTACCAGGTCACTCACGAGCGGGATAGGCTTCCTCTTGCGGATGTCCGGCATGCTGTCGATGATGATGAGACCGCCCCCTGGGCTGCAAGACACAGAGGGGCATTGAGGGCCCAGACATCCCTATTCCTCACACAGACATCACTTGAGCCATGGGGAGAACACTCAACCTCCTCAGGTGTTAAGGGGTTGAATTGCGTCCCGCAAAAAAAGATATGTTGATTCCTTAACCCTCACTACCTCAGAAGGTGACCTTATTTGGAAATGGGGTTGTCACAGATGTAATTAGTTAAGATAAGGTCATATGGGGCGAGGGTGGATGCTTCATCTAATAGGACTGGTGTCCTTAGGAGAGAGAGATGGAAAGAAGGTGGCTTCGTGGCAACAGAGGCAGAGAGTGACGATCTACAAACAAGTATCTACTTGGTGGCTAAGGATTTCAAGCAAACGCCAGAAGCTAGAAGAGGCAGGGGAGGAATTCTCTTCTACAGATTCCAGAGGGAGCGCGGCCTGACCAACGCCTTCATTTCAGACTTCTGGCCTCCAGAACTGCGAGACAAAACACTGTCGTGGTTTTGAGCCACCCGTCTGTGGTACTTTGTGATAGCAGTTCTAAGAAATGGAGACAGCAGGCCTCAACCTCCTCATCTGAAAAATGGGGAGATGACGTAGTTGCCCACCTTGAATGAAAACGTGAATTAAGGCAAACTTAAGTTATATACTAAAATATAAACGAAACCTTTCTTTTTTTAGAGACAGAGTCTCGCTCTGTTGCCCAGACTGGAGTGCAGTCCTGCGATCTCAGCTCACTGCAGCCTCCTGAGTTCAGGCGATTCTCGTGCCTCAGCCTCCCAAGTAGCTGGGATTACTGTCACACGCCACCACACTGGGCTAATTTTTGTATTTTTAGTGGAGACGGGGTTTCACCATGTTGGCCAGGCTGGTCTTGAACTCCTAACCTCAGGTGATCCACCCACATCGGCCTCCCAAAGTGCCGGGATTACAGGCATGAACCACTGCACCTGGCCCACACCCAGCTAATTTAAAAAAAAATGGGTGCTGGGTGCAATGGCTCACGCCTGTAATCCCAGCATTTTGGGAAGCAGTGGTGGGTGGATCACCTGAGGTCGGGAGTTCAAGACCAACGTGACCAACATGGGGAAACCCTGTCTCTACTAAAAATATAAAAATTAGCTGGGTGTGGTGGTGCATGCTTGTAATCCCAGCTACTTGAGAGGCTGAGGCAGAAGAATCGCTTGAACTCGGGAGGTGGAGGTTGCAGTGAGCCAAGGTCGCACCGTTGCACTCCAGCCTGGGCAACAAGAGCAAAACTCCATCTCAAAAAAAAATTTTTTTTTTTTGTAGCAATGGGGGTCTCGCTATGTTGCCCAAGCTGGTCTTGAACCCCTAGTCTCAAGCGATTCTCCAGCCTCACCCTCTCAAGTAGCTGGGATTACAAGCATGCACCACCACACCCAGCTAATTTTTGTATTTGTAGTAGAGTCGGGGTTTCGCCATGTTGGGCAAGCTGGTCTCGAACTCCGGACCTCAGGCGATCCACCTGCCTCAGCTTCCCAGAGTGCTGGGATTACAGACGTGAACCACCGCACCCGGCCCCAAAAGGTTTTCGTTGGCCAATGAGATAGGTACCTGCCGCCAGTGACTCCAGACAAGCCCACAGGGCCATTCATGCTACCAAGCTTTCTGCAGGAGCCGACTGAGGCTTAGAGACGCCTAAGCCACATCTTTTCTCGGCAGCCTCCCCTAGTCTGACAGCTTTCTCCTGAGAAAAATATCCTTCACAAATCACGAGCACAGAAATCCCCATTTCAGGCCCTGCATCCCAGGCTCTCTAGCTAGGGCACCTGCTCACTTATTTAGGAATGCCAGCTGCTGTCTCCCTGCCTGTTTGCAAAGGGTGTACAAGGAAGGTCACTATCGTGCTGCTATTTTAAAACCTGAGCATATTTTAAAAATATCTTATGCATCCTCTAACCTGAAAATCCGTAACATAAGAAGATAGATGTGACCACATGCCCCACTGAAGAATAAACAACTATCTTTAATTAAGAGCCCTCACTGTAGCAATAATTGAAGAGATTGGAAAATAGACTCAAAGCAAAAAACTTTGCTCCGGGATTATAAATACATAGTGTATATTTCCCAATAATGTCTAGTTCCTAATAGTGTCTGCTTTATATTGCGTTTATTTATTTGTTTGTTTTTGAGACAGTGTCCGTCGCTGTTGCCCAGGCTGGCGTGCAATGGCGCAATCTCAGCTCACTGCAACCTCTGCCTCCTGGGTTCACGCAATTCTCCTGCTTCAGCAACCCAAGTAGCTGGGATTACAGGTGCCTGGCACCATGCCCAGCTAATTTTTGTATTTTTAGTAGAGAGGGGGTTTCACCATGTTGGCCAGGCCGGTTTCAAACTCCTGACCTCAAATGATCCTCCCGCCTCAGCCTCTCAAAGTGCTTGGATTATGGGCATGAGCCAGGGCACCTGGCCCTACCTTCAAAGATGACTGTCTTTTGCATCTGCATATGGTTGTGTGCCTTATGAAACTGACATATTGTGCCCAAGCTCAGTCTGTCCCCCGTCTAAATGGAACCCCTCCCCATCCTCTCTGGGCTGAGGCTCAGGCGCAAACCAGCCTTGAGCTCAGCTCGGGGTTCAAAACTTCCTCCCACCACTCACAGTTCATCACTTACCCGCCTTTGAACCACAGAGATTTGGACATCTCTCCTTCTCCCCGGGCCTGCAGGACAGACAGACAGATACGGCCAGTGTGGTCATCCCTCCCCTCCCCGCAGCAGGCTCCACACCCACTTCTGATCCCCTCTGGGCTGGGAGTCAGATGGCCTGGGTCCTAGTCCTGGCTGAGTGATCTTAGGAAGCTCCCTGGCTATCTCTGGCCTTAGTTTGCCCATCTGTAAGATGGGCTGGGGGAGAAAGAAGCGCCTCTCTTTCACCTACCTCAATGGATCTCAGTCTCTTCATTGATTACCCTTAAACTCCCTACAGTCTCACAGTCTCACTGGTTCATCTGCTCTTGTGCCCTGGGCCCTTTCCAGGAGTTATGACTTCAGCTTGTACGCCCTCTTACCTTCTGCACCCACCCAATGATAAGCCTCTGTTTATCATTCAGGTCTCAGCCAGACCCAGGGTCCACACCCCCTACCTTCCCTCCATCTTGTAACTAAAGAGTTAACATGGGAGTCCTATCGGGGGAGAGGGAAGCATTCTTCTGTTGTGAAATATTGAGGGGGTGTTTGATTTTTTTTAAAGACAGAGTCTTGCTATATTGCCCAGACTGGTCTTGAACTCCTGGCCTCATACAATCTTCCTGCCTCAGCCTCCTGAGTAGCTGGGACTACAGGTGTGATCCACCCCACTCAGCTCCTGAAGTATTTTTTCATTTTTTTCTAGAGACGAGGTCTCATTATGTTGCCCAGGCTGGTCTTGAACTCCTGAGCTCAAGTGATTCTCCTGCCTTGACCTCCCAAAGTGCTGGGATTACAGACGTGAGCTCCTGAAATATTGTTGAAATATTTTGGACATTAATTTTCCTTAAGTGTCATCTCCTCCAGGGAGTTTTCCTGATTGCCTCGGATTAGTTTTGTGCTTTTCCTATGAAACCCAGAGAGCCCTCCGTGTTTCTTTTTCTTGTCATATCACTAGTTCCATAGTTTGTTCTTCTTGTATATTGCTAGTTCTATATTTTATTTTTCTTGTCATATCACATAGTTCCAATAGTAGCTGCTATTTGTTTAATTTAATTTGCTGACCTAGTAAAAGTTATCCAAAAGCCTTTTCACTGTGTACTCTTCATCCTTCTAATTTAGAACCATATGTATATGCCGCTGAGTCAAAAGACAGATTTCTCTTTTAAGGGTTGTCGTTTTGTTTTGTTTTGTTCTTTTACTCAGAGTCTCGTTCTGTCGCCCAGGCTGGAGTGCAATGGCACGATCATGGCTCACCGCAACCTCCGCCTCCTGGGTTTAAGCAATCCTCCTGCCTCAGCCTCCTGAGTAGCTGGGATTACAGGCGCCTGCCATCATGCCGAGATAATTTTTGTATTTTTAGTAGATATGGGGTTTCATCATGATGGCCAGGCTAGTCTCTTAGCCAGGCTAGTCTTGAACTCTGGACCTAATGATCCTCCCACCTCAGCCTCCCCAAGTGCTGGGACTACAGGTGTGAGCCACTGAGCCTGGCGACTGGATTTCTGTTTTAAAACTGATAAGTTTCTTTGGTACTTCTGTGGCCCTGATATTTGATGGTTTAAGCCTCTGGGAGGTCTGTTTGGAATCTCCTTCTGCCAGTCCCACTGCAGGTTGGAGGGTAACCCTGAAGAGCGACACTGCTGTCTCCAGCCCAGGGTGAGTTGAATGAAGGAATAAATGAATGGCCTCCACGCTGCTGCCCATCTGAACAGTCACCCAGACCTGATGTTAATTCTTTCCTTGATTCTTACTCCCCTACTGACCCAGCCGCAGACCTTTCCCTAACCCTGACAATAACCTCCAATTTGACCCTAAGCACTGACCCCTTTGCCTGACACCGATTCTAACCCTGACCTCTGATCTTTGATGGCTGAACTGACCCTGACCTTGATCCCTAACCATGACTTCAGCCCTATTTCAGTCTGTTTTCTCTTCTCCCTCTTGACTTAGAAAGCCCAGGCTGACACTGGGGAGAAGGGTGTGCTGGGGATGGGTGGGACCCGACTTGGTGTGGGGTTTGGGAGTGAGCATAACCCGGCTGGTGTGAATGGGCCATAGGGATGCCCTGGGCAGTGTGTGCGCGCGGGGCTAAGGAATGGGTCAGGGGGGGCATGGGCGACATGAGGCGTGGCCAGGATGAGTGAGGGTGGAGCCAGGGAAGGGCTCCAGTGGCAGGGCATGGACACAGTGTGGGCACTGCATTGGGCAGGCCCGGGCTGGGATTGGGTACTGGTGGGGTGTTGGGCGTGGCCAATCTAGGTGTGGGTGTGGCCAAATCATGTGTGGGCATGGAATTGGGCGTGGCCTGGCTGGACGTGGCCAGGACGTGGCCAGGACGTGGGCAGGACAGGGCCATGCGTATCACTCACCTCCTGCAGCTGCATGCGCACCTTGTTGAAGGCACGCAGCCAGTTGGCTTTGGCCCTGGACATGGAGTCCTGCCCCTCCTGGCCTTCCTCATCCTCTCTTGGTCTGAAACTGAGGCAGGTAACGCCATGAGGCTCCAGTCTGGCTCTCCATGACTCCCGACCTTCCCTCAACCCTAGAGCCGTGCAAGCGATGCAGGCTCCTCATGGCACCTCTGACCCCTCAAAGACACTGGGACCCACCTGTGTCCCCTGGCCCGGCTCGGTGCCCCCACCCATTCCCACACACCCAATGCTTCTTTGACACTGTCACTGTTCCTCAGCTTCCTTGTCACCAGCCCAGCCCCTCTGGCCCCCCTTTTGCCCAGGATCTTGACCTCTCCGACCCCAGGAACCCCTAAGGTCACAACCTCTAAGACTCCTTCATGACTCCCCTGAACCCTCTTTGGCCCCCCTACTCTGCCCTGTCACCTCCGATCCCTTTAAGAAACCCAAGGCCCTGTGACATCTTCAGCCCCGGCAACTACCTAGGTCCATGCCGACCCCATCGTAGTCCTGCTGACTCTGTGACCTTGAGACAGCCCCTCAGCCCCTCGGCCCCCTCCTGTTACCTCTCCTCGGCCTTGGGGGGCTCAGGTTCAGGAATTTCCTCTGCTGCAGGCACCTCCTCGGGCGTGGCTGGCTTGGGGGCTACCTTGGCCATGTCAGGGGCCTTGGTGGGTGCCACTGGGGCCTTGTCGTCCTTCCCAGGGGCAGCTGGTGGGAGGCTGATGCGCTTGAAGTCTTTGGGCTCAGCCACAGCCACCTCTTCACGCTGGGCATAGCTGCCCAAATCATCAGGCACCTCCTCCTCCTCCTCCAGCTCCTCCTCATCTTCAGGAAGCTCTTCCTCCTCCAGGAAGTCCTCCAGGTCCTCATCCAGCTCCTCCTCATCCTGGTCCCAGCGAGGTGAGTCTTTGTGGTAGCTGACTGAGCTGTGGCAGGAGTGGTAGGAGTCCCGGTCCCGCTCGTCCTCCATCTCGGAGCCCTGCAGGCTGTGCTCGTCAGGGTCAAAGTCCTCACTCAGCTGTGAGCTTCCCTGGCTCAGCTCCCCGGAGGAGGCGTAGCGACTGCTGCCCGTGGGGCTGTGGGGATGGGACAGAGGTCAGGGGCTGGGGTACCAAGTCGCTGCCCACCTGAGCCCCATTCACACATGCATTCACTCAGCACCAGCTGAGCACTTGCTGTGTGCCAGGCCCTGCTCTAGGGGCCGGAAAACATAGCCATGATCAGAAAGGACAAAAATCCCACACCTATAATCCTAGCACTTTGGGAGGCTGAATCATATGAGGTCAGGAGTTCGAGACCAGCCTGGCCAACATGGTGAAACCCCATCTTTACTAAAAATACAAAAATCAGCCAGGCGTGGTGGTGTGCACCTGTAATCCCAGCTACTCCGGAGGCTGAGGCAGAAGAATCACTTCAACCTGGGAGGCGGAGGTTGCGGTGAGCTGAGATCACACCACTGCAGTCCAGCCTGGGCGACAAGAGTGAAACTCCGTCTCAAGAAAGAAAGTGAAAAGTTTTGGTGGCATTTTTGGTCTGTGGGGGACAGGCAATAGGCTATGCTGGAGACTCAGGGTCAGCAGCATCATCACAGCGCCGCAGCAGGTCTCCTGGCCGCCACTTCGAAAAAGTATGGGAAATGCATCCACTTCCCAGTGCCCTGACCCCCATCCCAGGCCAGCCTGTGCTGTCTCCACAGTTCTCACTATCCTTGGAAGCCACAGAGAATGATAAATCCAATCACCTCCCTCCTCTGCTCTAAATCCGACCATAGCTCACTGGTGCCTTGGTATAAAATCTGTGCTAGCCCTGTGTGGCCCTTACCCTCCAAATTCCAAACTCCCCCTGCCTGTCTCCCTCCACTCCCCCCCGCCTCCTCCAATCCAGCCACGCCGGCCTTCTTGTGGTCCCTCCAACGCCATAAGTTGTTGTGCACTTGCTGTTGTCTCTTCCTTGTCTGTTTCTTTTTTTTTTTTGAGACGGAGTTTTGCTCTTGTTGCCCAGGCTGGAGTGCCATGGCGCAATCTCGGCTCACCGCAACCTCCGCCTCCCAGGTTCAAGTGATTCCCCTGCCTCAGCCTCTCGAGTAGCTGGATTACAGGCACGCGCCACCATGCCAAGGTAATTTTTGTATTTTTAGTAGAGACGGGGTTTCATCATGTTGGCCAGGATGGTCTCGATCTCCTGACCTTGTGATCCGCCTGCCTCGGCCTCCCAGAGTGCTAGGATTATAGGCTACAGGTGTGAGCCACTTTTGAGATGAAGTTTCGCTCTTGTTACCCAGGCTGGAGTGTAATGGCGTGATGTCAGCTCACCACAACCTCTGCCTCCTGGGTTCAAGCGATTCTCCTGCCTCAGCCTCCTGAGTAGCTGGGATTACAGGCACGCGCCACCACGCCCAGCTAATTTTTTGTATTTTTAGTAGAGACGGGGTTTCTCCATGTTGGTCAGGCTGGTCTCGAACTCTCGACCCCAGGTGATTCGCCCGCCTCAGCCTCCCAAAGTGCTGGGATTACAGGCGTCAGCCATGCACTGTGCTGGGCCCTTGTCTGCTTTATCTGGCAAACTCCTACTCATCCTTTGGTACCTACTGAGACATCACTTACTTGCGTGACTGCCCCCACTCTCTGGCCAGGTCAGGCCCTCTGTTATATGCTCCTTATATGAACCCAGGATCATGCTCGATGTCACCAGAAAGAAATATCTGTCTCTGTCCCAAGTGCAGGCAGGAGGACATAGCGGCCACCACTCAACCCCCTTCTAACCATTCACTTAGTCACTCAACAAACCTTATCATTTCCTGATTAGATACCTCCTCCAATCTCAGGGCCCGGGACCCCCTTCCCTGGCCAGCCTCGGGGATGCTACAGGAATAAAAGTGGGGTTCAAGACCAGCCTGGGCAATGTAGCAAACTCCCATCTCTAGAAAAAATAAAAATAAATTAGCTTGGTATGGTGGCCTGCGCCTGTAGTCCCATCTACAGGGGAGGCTGAGATGGGAGGATCGCTTGAGCCCAGGAGCCCAAAGCTGCAGTGAGTCATGATGGTGCCACTGCACTCCAGCCTGGGCAACAGAACAAGATCCTGTCTCAAAAAAAAAAAAAAAAAGTCTCCCTCAGTCATCCAGGCTGGCTCACTGCAACCTCGATCTCCCAGGCTCAGGTGATGCTCCCACCTCAGCCTCCTGAGTGGCTGGAACCACAGGTACATGCCACCGTGCCTGGCTAATTTTTGTATTTTTTGTAGTGACAGGAGGTCTCACTTTATTGCCCAGGCTGGTCTCGAACTCTTGAACTTAAGCGATCCTCCCACCTCTGCCTCCCAAAGTGCTTGTATTACAGGTGTGAGCTACCACACCAGGCTGCCTGTAGAATTTTCTTGCAAGCTTTTGGGTAGAGAAAGAGGCTGGGCGCAGTGGCTCACCCCTGTAATCCCAGCACTTTGGGAGGCCAAGGCAGGTGGATCATGAGGTCAGGAGTTCGAGACCAGCCTGACCAACACGGTGAAACCCCGTCTCTACTAAAAATACAAAAAATTAGCCGGATGTGGTGGCGGGTGCCTGTAATCCCAGCTACTCGGGAGGGTGAGGCAGGAGAGTCACCGGAACCTGGGAGGTGGAGGTTGCAGTGAGCCGAAATCATGCCATTGTACTCCAGCCTGGGCAACAGAGCGAGACTCTATCTCGGATACATAAATAAATAAATAAATAATAAATACAAATACAAAAATTCCCCAGGCGTGGTGGCGGGTGCCTGTGGTCCCAGCTACTCGGGAGCCTGAGGCAGGAGAATCACTTGAGCCTGGGAGGTGGAGGGTGCAGTGGTCCCAGATCTCGCCACTGCACTCCAGTCTGGGTGGACAAAAAAAAAAGAACAGAAAAGCAAAGGAAAAAAAGGGAACCATTTTCACAAGAAAATGTGAATTCTGCCCTCCTGGACGGGTGAATTCTGCTCTCCCGGAGCCCCAGCTCCAGCTCCAGCCCCCCGCCCCTCTCTCCACCCCGGGAGACACAGCAGGACCCTCACGCACACACAGGCCGCACTCCGCGGCAGCTACCTGAGGGCCTGCGGCTCAGAGAACTCCTCGTAACTGTGCATGGAGTCACTGTAGGATTCCCGGGAGCCCAGGGGTGGTGGGCGGACCGAATACTGGTGGACTGAGGCGTTGGGTTGCGACGTAGTGTAATAGGGCGGCGGCATGCTGTTGCTTGTTTCACTACGATAGTCACTGTCACGGTCGTCCACTGCACTGTCGGGGTCATCGTCTGGAAGAGAGAGGAGATATGGGAAGAGGGTGAGGAAGAGAGAGAGCGCGCGCATGTGATGGGGGCCAATGCAGTTTCCCCGACTTAGGGCGCTGCTACCAAAGAAGAGAATTTTTTACTACTATGGATAAAGAATTGTGGATCATGTTAAGAGAGATATAGGCTTCAGAACAAAGGAGGTGAAAACCCTGCTTTGCCTTCTGTGGGTCAAATAGGACTTGTAGTCTAGGGGCTAGGGTAGGTCCTACAATATGAAGAAAACGAAGACAAAGTAGAGGGCATCCTTCAGCTCAAATGTGAGGAACAACTTGGCTGAAGATCAGGATCTCTGAACATGAGATGGGATTTTTTTCCATTGGGCAGTTAGTTTCCCATAACAGGAGTCACACGAACACTCAGGAGGAAGATGGAGGAAGATCAGGAGTTCAAGGTGGAGTGAATGTCCTTTAACGCTTAGAGATTTCCTGATAGCTGAGGGTGAGGACCCCAGACCTGAACTTACAGGTGCAACACCTAGGAAGATGCTGTGAAGTGGTTCCGTCTTTTTCAAAAGGATTAGATACTTAGCTTGGCAAACCCACTACACACGAAGACTCTATTGCTAAAAGGGAATGTGGTAGAGTTGCCAAACTTCATGTTTAATAAGAACTAAAAGATATTTTAGTTTGGTTTCCTTAGAAAAAAGAACAGTTTGTTTTCCAAATCCTAAAAGAATTCCAATTCTAAAAGCAACATGTCTGGGGGGGGGTGGTATAATTGGGGATTGTACATTTTCTTCTTTATTCTTTTCTGTGCCTTCTGAAAAAAAAGATTTCAATAATGCCATCTTTTCTATTTTTTAAAATTAAAAAAATAATAAAGTTATTTTTACTTTAAAAGTGAAGCAAAGGCCAGGCACAATGGCTCACACCTGTAATCCCAGCACTTTGGGAGGCCAAGGTGGGCAGATCACTTGAGCCCAGGAGTTCAAGACCAGCCTGGGCACCATAGCAAGACCCTGTCTCTACTAAAAATAAAAAAAAAATAGCTCGGGGAGGTGACATGTGCCTGTAATCCCAGTTCCTTGGCAGGCTAAGGCAGGAGAATTGCTTGAACCCAGGAGACAGAGGTTGCAGTGAGTCAAGATCACACCTCTGCACTCTAGGCTGGGTGACACAGTAAGACCCTGTCTCCAAAAAATAAAATACAAGTAAAATAAAGAAAAATGTAGTCCACGGGCCAGGCGCAGTGGTTCACACCTGTAATCCCAGCACTTTGGGAGGCCAGGGCAGGAGGATCATGAGGTCAGGAGTTTGAAACCAGCCTCACCAATATGGTGAAACCCCATCTCTGCTAAAAATACAAAAATTAGCCAGGTGTGGTGGTGCATGCTTGTAACCCCAGCTACTTGGGAGGCTGAGGCAG